CCCCTCCCACCCAAAGACCCCCTACTCCAAGACTATCAGACCCACCAAATAGTGGGGGGTGGGGGGGAGGCAGCTCAACTCTGCAAACCAGAAGCCAAGAGAGGCAGCTGAGGGACTTCACTTGGCCCAGAGGGGAACCAGAGGCAAAAAGAACTCTCCAGATCTTTGAGGGACCCCTAGCCCAGGTCCCATCCTGGGACAAGAGGTGTGGGGACACTGGAACCCAAGCCTAAGAAGGGTCCAAGACCCACTTTCTCCACTTTTCAGTTCCTTGAACTGAAAAAGGCATCTTGGCACTTCAAAGAAAGACAATAAGAACCAGCTGACAGTCCCTCACCCCCAGGGCAATTCCCAGCAGCTCCGTGTGGGGCAGGGAGCAAGAGCACCGGGCAGGGGGATGGCCCTACTCCCCAAACCCAGCCCAGGGGGCCTCAGCCCCAGAGCTCTGGCAAAAGAGAGGAGATGGAGAGACAGAGATAGAACAACCTATCGCTGAAGCTGGCCTGGTCCACAGGCAGCCAGACCCAGGCCTGCACGCCTCTGCCCTCTGGCTGGGGTAGGGCACTGCTTCAGAACCACAGGGCCAGGGAGCCGAGGGGCCCAGCTCCAGCCTCCCTGCACACAGGCCCTGGTCCTGAGCTAACTCTCACAGGCATCTGAGGATCTGCCTCCTCTCACAGAAACCACCAGGTGTTGGGCACCTTTTGGCTGGAGTGGAACAAAACATATGGCCTCAGAGGGAGTGTGAGCCCCATTCTGTGACTGTGGTCTCAACATCCTAACTTGGAGGGAAAAAGGCAGGCCAGGACTGGCCCAGGTTCCCCCACCCAACAACCAGCTGCAGAAACACGGAGGTCTCAGCCAGCCTGCGAGTCAGGGTGGGGTGGTCCACAAGGACTGAGGGGAGGCCGGGAGGTGAGCAGGAAAAAGGACAGATTTTTGTGCAGTGGAAGGAGGACCGGGAACCAAGCTCAGTGGGGGAGCAGAACTCCAGGCCACATCCAGGCTCCAAGGCCTGGGGCAGAGAAAGTGGGGAGCAGCTGGGGGTGGTCCCTGGGGGCAGAGCAGCAGATCTAGGCCAGAGGCAAAGGCAGCTGCCATTGGGCTTAAGTCATGGAGGAAGTGGTGGGAGTTTGTAAAGGGGGGGGCAGGGCCCTGGAATTCCAGAAAGGGTCAAAAGTCAACCGGCTTCTAGCTGCAAAGGCCCGAGGCTTGGGGAGGGGGCGGGGCAGAGTTCTCTCCATTCTGCCCTCAGGGACCCTGAACAAGCTGCCCCAGGCCTCAGGAAAGGCGAGGGGCTGGGCTAAGGCAAGAGGCTGCTTGAAGCAAAGAAAGCTCCAGGGTGACAGAGAAAGGGAACCTCTGGTCCTTTTGGTCGGGCCTTTCTATCAGCTAACTGGCTCCGGGCCCCACCCATGTACCAGGCAAAGCAACACTTCAGGCTGTCCCTGGACAGATCTTCTGGCTGGAGGCTCAGGCCTGGGGGGCCTGCTGGGCCTGGTACCTCAAGAGGGCGCAGAGGCTCTGTGTGGAAGGGAGACGCACACAGGAGACAGGCCCCATCACCCACGGGGCCATGAGAGCACTGGGTTCTTCAGTTCAGAAAGGTGGGGAGACAGGCAGTGTAGAGATGGGGTAGCTGGTTCCAAATCGTGAAGCCACCTATGCGGGGCCTCTGAGACAGCTCACAGGCAAAACCTTCTTCAGTAGCCAACTCTGGCTGGCAGCACTGGCCCTGCCAACCCTTCCAGGTGTCAAGGCCGGTGGGCTTCCCCGCACAGAGAAATGGTCTGGAAAAGCAAGTCCTTGCCTTGGACCTCTGGGCAGGGGGCATGGGATCCCACAGACTCAGGGACCAGAGACTGAGGGCCACCTGCTGCAGTGCCGACCACTACAGAGACCTGGTGTTCCTAAGGTCGCCGAGTTCCCACAAAGAAGCCTGGCCACCACCCCGCCTGGCAAAGCTGCAGCTCACACTGCGCCTGCGCATGCCCAGAGCTGGAATTTCCCGTTTCCAGGCGGGAGCTTTGTTTCTGCTCGCGCTCCCTCTATCTGGTCCTGAGCTGCAGGTAGTGTTAGTCCCGGTCCGGCTTCAACATCCACAGAAACACTGACAACTGTCACACGTGACTGTCCTCACTACACTATCACCACCTGAGTCTTAATTTGCTCCTTCCTCACCCTCTGTCAACAGAGGCCATTTGCCTCCGGAAGGAGCAGGTGCAGAGGGGGCAGGGTCTCCTGTTCTGCCCTTAAGGGCCCAGGGCAAGGTAAGTTTAGTCACTCAAGTAAGTGCCTGCAGGAAGGGCAGCAGTCAAGACCTCAAAAAGGAAAGGCACTGGAGTCCTGCCAGTGATGGGGGG